CTGCCACTCTCGTACACCTGCCAAGGCAAACAGCAGCATGGTGAGCCCCAGTGCTGGCCAGCCAGCACCAGGAGGCACCCCAGCCAGTGCAGCATCCATCCAACATCCCACATGCAAGCTGCTCCTCCCCATGTCCCCAACCGTAAGGGCCACATGAGGAATGAGCACGTGCTCTTCCACCCCACAGGAAGCAAATGTCCCACTGGTATCCATAGGTCACCCAGCACAGAGACTTCCAGCATCCATCACCTCTGGGACAAACTTGTAGAGGCTGTGATGGGAGGGAGTGTGGGCAGCACATCAGCATTGTTTTATCTATAAATAAAGCAATGTAAAGATGTGAATACCCAAAGCCCATAGTCACTCTCTTTACCATGATCTTAAATTACTTTACTATTGCCTTGCAGGGCAAGAGCCAGTGGGTGCAGGTGTGAAAGATGGCCCCTCCTGTGCTTTGGAGATCCCCACTCTGAGGACTTCAGCATGTTATGTAGTGCCTCAGTCCACAACAATATGGCAAACCCAGTGCAAAGTAAAAGGAGTTTGGGATGATCCACAGGACTAGATGTTGTTGTTCAAGCAACAGAAGCTCCCAGGGTAATCCAAACCCTTCCAAGACAGAGAGCACTGAAAAAATGTTCTAATAGCACAATCAATCTGCTTGAAGCACACAGAGCCCCTTTCCCAGAAAGGGAAATGAGCCTTGTCCATTGCATGGTCCTGCTCCTCCACCTCCAGCTAGTCACCAGCAAAGGTGAGACACTGGTACAATTGGACTGGCACACCCAGTCCAACATCGGTCCAACACCACTCCAACCAGTCCAACACCAGCCTGACCAGTCTGCCCCCAGCCCAACCAGAACAAGGCCAGTCCAGCCAGGCCTCAGTCCCCACCAGGTCTGGCTGAAGCCGATCACATGGCATCAGAGCTGAAAAAACTTGCAGTGAAAGAAAGGCTTCTCTAAACCCAAGCTCACTAGCATCACTTTTCCCCAGACTCTTTCCAACTGATCAGTGCCTGCTGGGACAGCACATGGCCCAGGCAAACCCCTGCTGGGCAGCCTGTCCCTGTGTGCTGATACCTTCTGGCATGGGACTCCTCTGGGAGGGACTCATGACTTTTTGGTGCCATGACATGGGGATGGATGCTCCTGACTCACTGTGTTCCATTGGCAATCAACAGACAGAGGTGAGACCAGAGAGCACCACCATTATCTGAGCATGCAGCAGCACAACATGAATACCCCAAGCTCCCCAAAGTAAATTATTCCTGTTTCACGGCAAAGCGATTAATGAGGGTTTTTTTCCATGGCAACTGGAGCAGCTCTGCAAGGACCCAGAGGGCCTTTATCTCCTCTATTAAATCATAAAAGAAGAATGAGCTGAAGGAAAAACCCTTTGGGGAAACTGATAACAGAGCTGATTTCTCACCCCTGATTTGATAGGGAAGCACTAGTTTCTTGATGGCTTCTTGAGCATCCAATTAGCACAGTGGTTAGACTTCAGCCTAACACAAAAATAAACTTGCTCCTTTCCCTGTCACAGCTACAGTGTTTCTGGGGACCATGCATTACATGGTGATCATCAATGGATGGTGATGCTGAAGCCATCTGCCATGCACTGTGCCCTATCCATCATGTCCCACACCTACTCACTGTAGCACCATTGTGTGCAAGGAGGGGGACATGAGGGCAGAGAACTATGTGCTGTGCTGCTCTTTTGTCAGCACAGCCTGTCCCACTGGTGAAATGGAGACAGGTTTGGCTAAGGGCACTCCATGGGCTGCAGCAGATCTGCAAGAGAAACAAGCACTGGGATTCTCCTCAGGTGCACATGGGACCCTCATACCTTTTGAACCTTTCTTCAAGCAGGACCATGCTCCCCTCCACAGGCCCAGTGCTCCCCAGCACAGTCCAGCGTGCTCCATCAGCATCTTTATCCAACAGCCAGGTCAAAGGGAGGAAAACTGGCATCAGTGTAGGACACAAGGAAGTTCATCAGCAGACCAGGCAGGAGAGGAGGAGGGATCTCCCTCTCTGGGGATCATCAAAGCCTCAGAAACACAGCCCTTAACACTGATCACCTGTGAGTCATCTCCTTCCTCCATGGCCTGGCCGTGTTTGAAAACCAGGTCAGGCAGCTCCCATACCTGCTCACCTGCTAGCTGTTAACAGTCAGACTTGTACCACCTGGAACCACATGCAGTGGTGTGACACCACTTGCCCATATGAATGAGCATGGGACAAGGAGTGTGATGGAGCAGTGTTCCCATTGAGGCTGCATTGAGGCCACCTCTGCCTCACTGCAGGGAACCAAAAATTGATGCCTTCCTCACTCTACCCTTTGGGATTTTGCCTTGTTTCATCAGGGAGCAGAGCAGCAGGTGTCACACCATGAGACCATGCAGGCCCCTGGGGCTGGTTCCACTTCCTCGCCTGCTACAGTGGGGTTACTGCTAGGCTTTTTGGACTGGGATGCTAGTGCCACCATGCTGAGCTTGGGCACCTCTTGGCAAGTCCTGCCCAGTTTTCCCTTGCCCCATGTAGGCAGGGAGAGTGATGGCAGCCTGAGACCACAGATGCAGCCGCTGGTGGAGCACCATACTGGAGCCCCTCCATGGGAGGCACAGGCATCACTGCGACAAATAAACAGCAATAGAGCCAAGGGAGAGATGTGAAAACAGTTGTTCAGCATTTGAAATGGGGAAAAAATATTGAAGGCAGTCACAAATATTCCTGTACAGTTGCAAAATCTCTCTTCTCCCTAGAAAAATACTCACAACTCACTCAGAACCCTGAAATTCCCACTGCTACTGCAAGCACTATTGCACTGCAAAGACACAGTAATTCACCATTAATGTCCATTTCCAGTGAGAACTGCAACACTGCTGCTTTGTCCTCTTCTCTGATGGTCATCCAAAACACATACCACAACTCTCACAGATTCTCCAAGCCCATCCACTGATTTTACACCTTCTCCATGCTGTCATCCCACACTCAGTTTCCCTTCCAGGGGTATGGAGAGTGCACCACTGCTTTTCCATTTCAATCCATACAAATAAATGGGGTGCTATTTACCTCCACTTCTCTGCTGCTCTCCAGTCTCCTGCAAATGCCACCAAACAATATCCCAGACAACCCTTCCCATGTTTCATGTCAGCAGATCACTCTTCCTAGCAAGAGACCCTAATCCTTTGGGAAAACCATTTTTATGAAGGCACAGGCTATGCTGAGTGCTGTCTGATCACATGGACTGGCTCCCACTGCTAGAATATAAGGCTGTGTAGTTAAATGTTGGATTTTTTATTACCTAACTACAGCCTATAGTCATGGTTCAGCTTTAGGAAAAATCATACAGGTGATTCACATGTTCATTTAAATCAGCTTAACTCCCTAAACAGAGATTGGATGGATGGATGGATGGATGGATGGATGTCGGGTATAAAGCTACACCAGCCAGTGCAGAGGAATATTGGGGTGTTTGTGAAGAGCTGACACTTTTTGGCAGGCCAGTAACTCCAACAGCTCTGAAATGAAAACAGTGGTGTTTTTTTTTCCCCACTTAACTAACTCTGGCCATTTGCCAGCCCAGCTGTGACATTTGTTCTCAGGAACTGGGTCTGAAACACATGTGCTCAGAGGTTTTTCAGCAATCCCTCGGGCTCTCCTCTAGCATGTCTTTGGCACTGGAAAAACAAGTCATTAAGAATACCAGCTCCAAAGGAATCCTTCCCATCGTCTTATTAAAACATTTGTCGGTCTGTCCTGGTGAGAATTAATGAGGTTTGGTCTTATTAATTCCACCCTGAAGAGTTATTTCCTCCTCGCTTTGCTTGAGAAGTTTAAATATTTATGGAGTTAATATAATAATTGCTGCTCAATGAAGCTGCTTTGTGCCAGAAGCTCTTGGACATCTCCAAGCCTGCTCTTCTCCATCCATCAGTTCCAGGCTAGAAAGACTTTTCCTAGCAGCCTGTCCTCGACCTCTGCTGCTGCAAATGGGTGGCTGTGTGGATTTGCAGTGAGCAGCAAATGTAAAAGCTTCATTGAAAGGATGGCCTTGAGATTTCTCTGTTGACAGCTCTCAGGAGAGCCTCAGAAAGTGCTGCCGTTTGACAAACCAGGGCATGATGCAGAGACATTGAAAAATGAGAGAAGAGTGGGAAAAGGACAGCTCACTTTAGCCACAGGTAATTGGGGAAATATTGCCCAGTGCTGGGTCTCCGGTCAGTCAGCTAAGTTCCAAGCCCCAAATTCCACCCCCTCGTCACATTAGAGGCTTTTTATGTGTCTGCATGGCACCTTTCCTTCCCACACACAACAGGGCACAGTCTGCTCAAAGCCTCACCACAGCTCTTCCAGCTTTTCATTTCCATATGCACCTTGCCCAAATTCTGGCATAGATTAATGAAAACCCCCCTTGGAATGTGTTACTTGTGTAAATCATAGCTGGGATCTTGATGCCGTTGGGTGCTGGGACTTGCCAACACTGGCACCAAACATCCCTCACTGGCCAATGCAAACTGATGCTTAAAAAAGGGCTCTGATGGCCATGTCCTCTTTGGTGTAAAATTACTGCAAAAGGAGAGTTTTGATGTTATACATCCCAGTGCTTCTTTGCTGGCATTTTAAAAGGTCATTATTTACCTCATTAAGACTACAGGATGTAAAACATAAATTATTCTGCACCACCAACAAACTCAGAGACCCCCTGTGACCACCCCACACCTTCCCTTGGCCTCACAGGCTTACAACCTGACCAACAAGGCTTCACAGCACCAGTTTTCAGTGAGATTGGCCAAACTGGCTGACAGTTATCAAGCCTGGGGATACTGACAGCTTGTCCAATTGTTAATAACCACAGCTGAAGCACACCCACAGAGTGATGGCAGTGAACCGAGAGGATTTTCAAATGGAAAGCAAGGCCAATTCTGCTTCACCCACACTTTTTCTCCAGTTAAAAACCCCAAACCCAACAACAAGCCCATTGCCATGCCCTGAAACACCCCTGTCAAGCC